GAAGATCGATGACGTTTGACTGGAGTTCCACGAGAAATAGATGATTCCACAAGGCTAGGAGTGCTACATGGTAGCAGATTCCACGGAGGGTTTTGGCAACAACAGCTAATGATTGGTGCAGGGGAGCACGAGATCCAGGGAGAGCTGTAAGGAGTGCAGTGGAGTGATCAGATAGTACGGTTCGTCTAGTCTGATAGACTGTAAGTCGTTTGAATTGTTTATAGTAGATTGTTTGGCAAAGTGCCCAGAGTTTTTTCCAATTGGGTTTCTCCGTGATCATCTTGGTGTTGATTTACTGCTTTTGTTATTGTTTATTGATTGATCAATTAAACCGTGGTATTCAAACTTAGGACTAAAATAACTTGCATGTTTAATCATCTAGAGAAGAATTAAAAAGTCATTTGTTGCTACGTAATTCGTAAAATATTTTTATTTCCGCATAATATACATATTCATCTCCTCTAAGTATTGTTAGAGTCGAATTGTATAAGTTTCAATTGGAATCAGAACCTTAATTCGATTCCTAACCCTTTATAACATCTAGATGCGTCAGTTATTGACTGTGCCTCCGTTTTTCAACGAAAGCAACTATGCCTATTGGAAAGTTCGAATGAGAGTTTCTTAAATCTTTGGATTAACGTTGAAAAATGGTGGGCTCTACCTTCAACAACTGTTGCTGGTGTAGTCACACCCAGTGACCTATGTTTGTGGACTAAAATTAACCTAGATGAATGCAACTAGAACAGTAAAGTATTACATGCTCTGTTCATGGTTGTATCTGATGAAGAGTTTATGCGAGCATCGATGTGTGAAACTGCTAAAAAGGTTTGAGATATATTATAAACCACACACGAGGGTACCAAAACTGTTAAAAATTCTAAACTGCAGATGTTAACCACTAAGTTTGAAGATATTAGAATGAAGAACGATGAATCCTTCGATGAATTCTATGTGAATGTGAATGATATAGTTAACTCTAGTTTTAACTTAGGTGTAAGGATGCCCGAGACCAAAATTGTTAGAAAAGTTCTTAGATCCATGCCCGAGATTTTTAGACCTAAGGTTACTGCGATAGAAGAGAGCAATGACTTAGATGCAGTTAAGATTGAAGAACTCGTAGGTTTACTTCAAACTTATGAACTCATTATTTTTCAACCTAAAAAGGTTAAATCCATCATCATGAATACCATTAGAAAAGAGAGAGCGAGTCCACTGATACTGAG